TTTTTTTTTTTTTTTTTTTTTTTTGTGGCTCGATCAGGCAAGTGGAACCAAGTCACTCTAGTAGTCTAGGAGGTTACGTTTTTTTTTTGTTTTTTTTTAAACTGCCAAGGTCGGGTTCTACGGAGGGCAGTAATCATTCATCACCGGCAAGTCCAATCCCGTAATGTAAAAACAAAAACTTTTGCGATTTTTCGTGCTCATAAAAATTCTTCAAAAATTCAAAAACATTTAAGTTTCGTAGATTAGGTCGAATCTTTCAAGGAATTAAAAAAATAAAAAAAATAAAATAATTTGGATGGTGAAATAATTGCAGCGTCGCAATTTTTTTTTTTTATGCAAATTTTATTTTTGTCATTCATCCGTTTTTCACTCTATGTTACCGGTACCCCTCGTGAAACGGCGCTACCGGTTCCTCAAGGATTTTTACGCCAGGGATAGTGGTGGTTCAAGGTTTGATGAAGTTGGAAGTTGTTGTATATTATTATAGTTTGCTTTATAGTTGTACTGTTTGTACATATATGCATTAATATGTAGACAAATTGTTTTCTTCAACAATGGCAAATATAATGCTTCATAAAATTAACGTCTGACATGAGACCGAAGGTAAAGGGATTGACTAACTTCTGGAAAAGAATAAATTATTAGAAATAAAATTGGTACGCATAATCCGTCATTTAGAACATTGCAATGTTCTTTGACACTTTCGCATTATTGTGAATTACTTTATAACGGTATGCGTATGCATTTATACGTAGATTAATTTTATTATTCAAAAATTATATGTAAACGAATGTGAATGAAGTGACGAAGCCTTTAAAATAATAAATTATATAGAAAGAAGTCGGCATGCAGAGTCCATTTTTTAGCGAATTGCAATGTTATTTTATATTTTTGCATGATTAGCTTGAAAAGGTTATACTTAAGTCCTCTAGGTGGTAGTGAGACTTATGTCAGAACTATGTTTTTGGTTCATAGTTAAGTATTGTTACTTTTTTGTGAGGGGAGGTGACTACACTATTAAAAGCCTTGGGTGAACCCAGTCAATGAGTAAGGCGACTACTACTTAACATGGACATGCTTTGAATGGTAACCTAAACATGTATACTACTAGGTATGTCCAACACACTTTGAAAATACGTGGTCTCACCAACCGCCCCTTAATCGGTTGTGAATGGGGTTGTCTGACAAGGTGGAAGCACTTAAATCGGAGAGAGTTGAGGTGAGGCGTAGTCTTATAGTGGGGTTCAAAATTTGAGATATTATCCTTTTGATGGGATTACACCACCTCTTTGACACAATATACCTTTATTACATTACCATTACCCCCAATCTTGTTTTTGGCAAGCCTGATTTTTACTGTGCGCTGAGTTTTGTTGAGCCTGGGTTCCATCGCATTCTCTTTTTTATACTCCTTTGAAAATAAAAATAAAAAAATTGGCATTGCATTAAAAAAAAAAGTAAGAACATTCTGTGGGGGGGACACATCTATCGAAAAAAAAAAAAAAAAAAAAAAAAAAAAAAAAAAAAAAAAAA